CTTCTTGGAACTCACACAAAGCTTTATGATTCCTCTTGTAAGTTTTCTTATATTTCCTTTCATCAGGCTCATTATTAGAAAAATATTAACAGATCACAAGATCTATCAGAGAGATGAAATCTAAATTTTTATTATTGCATTATTACAAAATTTTAACACATCATCAGATAGCTATTAATGTCAAAAACTGAACACAAATAGTGATTAAAAAACTTAATAATTAATGTATAATATTATCGATAACTACATGTACAAAAATGTCATTTTTGATATGCGTATATTGTCTAAAATTACTTTTTCCACAATATAGCTATTTGTGTTATAATGCTTTTTACCTAAACAATAACATTTTTCAACCGATTTCAAGAAAACTTCACAGGACTGCGTAAAATTACCTTGCGGTGGTTCTGACAGTGCCAAAAATTGGAAAGACACAATTGTTTTTGCACAAAATCACTTTGAAAACACGATTCTGTCACCAGAATGAAAGGGGGACAACTCATATCGAGTTATACTTATTATAAAATCCGGATTTCCTACATTTTTCAACCGATTTCAACAAAACTTCACTTGGGGGGGGGGGGCAGGTAGTGTTTCTTATTGTCTTGCACACTTTTTTCTTTATTTTTACATTCAGAATGCTTTAAAAATTCCATTTACAAGACAATTGTTTATAATAAAATTCTATTCAATCGATAGACTCATAATGATTGAAAACAATGTTTTTGTTTGAGTTTGACCAATTCATAAAAAAAAACATAACAAAAAAACTAATTAAGACATGCGTGTCCGTCAACCTTAAACAATAATCTTTGTCAACTTTATTTTTCAGTCTTTATGATGGTCGATACTTGATCTATCTCTTACTGTTACATCCCCGGGCAACACCGGGCTCTACTGCTAGTACTGAATAAATTTTCTTTAAACATTAAAGTATATTTAATCACATCTCCCTGATAGTTGTCACAATCTGTAAAAAAGATTTCTACAAAATTTGATTCAAAATCAAAAAATAAGCACTCAACTTTGGTAATTTTTTTTTTTTTTTTTCACTCCAAGCAAAGCAACAAAAGCCACAAGGATACAAAAGTTTTCTGACAGTGAAAGAAACAAAAATGACAATAATAGAACAGGATTCAAGGAGACATATAATAACGACTGACATTGGATTTAAATTTTTGGAAATCAGAGTAGCTGGGAAAGCAAGAAGCTGGAAGAGAATTCCATATATGATAGGATATAATTTTTATGGTTACACTTAGCAATTTCAACAGTAAAATGATAAGATCTAGATGCCAATTTAGAATTGCACTTAAATTCATGAAGTCAAGATGCCAACAAGGAATTCTTATCAAAAGAATTACTGTGAAAATATTTATAGAAGATGCAAAAGGAAGCTACATTTTTTGCTTTTTATTAAAACTCCAAAATCATTAAACAGTGTAGATCAAAAATGAAGAATAAGCCCTCCCCCCCCCAATATTTAGCATCTTATTTAAACTTGGCAGTGCCTTAATAATTGAACTATAATAGCCATTCAGACAGTGCTTCAAATTTAGCCATGTAAATATGTTCTCAATTTGTGACTAAATTTGAATTGTATCTCTACTCTATTATAGTGGTTCCCAAACAGTGCAGCGCACGAGGATAGCAAATGAGGTAGAATGGTTGAAAGACATCAAAGATTCAGAAACAGTTTCAAAAAATTCATATACCAAAAATAAATGATTTCAAAATTTAAAATATTATTATATATTACTTGTAAATGCATGCATGAGTCCCAGTATAAATAGTTATAAATAATTACTTTTATCATTGTGATATTTTTGCATTATATCAAGTATTAAGACTATAGTAACTTGGGTTCACAAATTGGAGGAGAGAGTTATCAATGATAATGTTCTGACATCGAATCTGCAGTTATCTCCCTTTAACTTCCTCTGATTTTATTTTTAAATGTCCTTTTTATCACATAAAATTTGAGGCACAAGCAAATTTTCATCCCAAAAATGCACCCCAGAGAAAAAAGTTTGGGAACCACTGCTCTATTAAAATGCTTCTAAAAAAAATATTAACTTAGTATACTTATCAGGTAGAAGAGACCTCCTTGACAAATTTATAATGGTTCAATCTTAACAAATCTAAAAGACATTTATGTACATATTACATGATATAATCAAAACAATCTGAAAGTTTGTCACAGGACAAGGAAAGAATAAAAATTGTAGCACATAAGTGGAATTTGATGAATTTTCCATAAAATTTCTCTTGGCACACTTAGTCCTGGTTATAATAATAAACTACATCTGGCAGTAAGGCCTCTGATTGAGAGATAGAAGGTTTTGAGGAGCTTGGAACCACATCTTAATTGCTGTTGTTATGGTAGCACCTGTTAGGGCCCCAGCTATGGGCAAATAGTGAGCCTTCCCGTTTAAAAAAAAAAAAAAAACTATGAAAGTATAAAAATACATTTTAATAGTAAAAAGACCAGCAATACATTTTTATATAAAAAACAACAGAAATACCTAACTAGTAATACATTTTCTGTAGTTGATGGCATACAATTGCATTCAAAATGTACTTAGTTGAAGTCATAAAATTATTCAAATTATTTAGATTTCAGCAATAAATGACCAATAGGGATTGATATGTCCCTAAAGAAAATCAATCAACAAATCTTAGCAAATTTCAGCACTTTCTCTCTATATTGTGCATTGGAAATAAGGTGAAAAAAAATGTCAGGAATGAAAGCAAGTAAAAAGCAGTCTTTTGAAGAGAGAATGTTAAAGATCATAAGTGCTTATTAAACCTGCTATCTATGCTGATGACACAACTATTTACTCCTGTCTTAATGGTAAGTCTGAATGATTTGATAGGGTCAAATTGACAGTTGATCTAAAAAATAACCTTGAATTTGTTGTCAAATGAGACAAAAAATTGTAAATTTTAACACCTCCAAAATGAAGCTGTTGTCTTTTAACTGTCTTAGAGAACTTTTATTGCCTTGCATCAGCATGGCTGATGCTAACCTCTAGGAAAGACTCATTATGCCTTTTCAGGCTAACATTTTCTGCTGGCATGAAATGGAAAGATTATATTGAATTAATTTCTCAGCCTGCTGCTAGAAAAGTTGGTTCACTTTATTGTGCTTTACAATTTTTCTCACCAGAATCTCTTGCACATTTATAAATCCACAATATTGTACCATACCTGGTCTGATGCTTCTGCTTTGTACATAGAGATTCTTGACAAAATCCAAAGAATCTGTAATGTTATTGGTCCTGACCTGACAACTTGATTTCACTTTCCCACTGCCATAACATAGCTTCCTTGTGCCTCTTCTATAAATATTTTCATGGTAATTGGTCTGATGAGTTTTCCTCTTTGGTATCTCAACTACGAATTTAAGTGCAGTACTAGATTGGCAGCTAGGTTTTATAATTTTACAGATGAAATTTCTAAATGTAACAGTAAGTTCTATACTAACAGTTTCATCTATCACCATTCTCACTTGTGGAACTCTCTTCAGGCTTCCAATCAACTTCAAAAATTTAAATGCAAAGTCAACTGTTATCTTTTATCTCCTTAATTCTTTTACAAAGAATATTTTTTTCTCAGATTTTTTTTTACATTCAGAGGCCCTTTGAGTCTTAGTGGCTCTATTGCCTTGATTGGAGGGAAATGACTTAAAGAAAAAAAAACAAAAAAAAAACATTCTTCAAAACCAAAACAATAATCCATTTAAACAGTTTGGATAGAATCGGTGCTGGTTACCAGGACACACTATAGGTACTCTTCAATACAAAAAGAAAGCATTTTTGGCATGATCTGCTAGAAATCCATGTAATAAGGAACAATTGAACGTTGAAAACCAAGTCATCATGAAACTATACAAATGTTGTTATTTTAATTGTCATCTTGCAGGAACGGCACATGGCCAGTCTGATGCCCTTGCAACGAAACATTTCCCCCCATAAGGTAATAATTTAATTTTATTTTCATTTTTGTAACATGCAAGTAGGATAACTTTAATTATCCCAGGCAGGGATAACTTTAATTATCCCAGGCAGGGATAACTTTAATTATCCCAGGCAGGGATAACTTTAATTATCCCAGGCAGGGATAACTTTAATTATCCCAGGCAGGGATAACTTTAATTATCCCAGGCAGGGATAACTTTAATTATCCCAGGCAGGGATAACTTTAATTATCCCAGGCAGGGATAACTTTAATTATCCCAGGCAGGGATAACTTTAATTATCCCAGGCAGGGATAACTTTAATTATCCCAGGCAGGGATAACTTTAATTATCCCAGGCAGGGATAACTTTAATTATCCCAGGCAGGGATAACTTTAATTATCCCAGGCAGGGATAACTTTAATTATCCCAGGCAGGGATAACTTTAATTATCCCAGGCAGGGATAACTTTAATTATCCCAGGCAGGGATAACTTTAATTATCCCAGGCAGGGATAACTTTAATAATGAAAATAACAATATAAAAACCTTTTGCAATCTGTTTTGTTCACCGCTAAAAGTAACTATTGCAATTTGTCTTTCACTGGCTTAACAATATTTTCATTTATTTTAAATTGAAGAAAGAAATTATGCTTGGGAAATGATTTCAGCCACATTTTTCTTGCCTGTGTGTAATATCCACCTCTTTGCATTCATTTTATTCTATATTTTCAATCTTAGAATATTAATGTTGTCATAAACTCTTTTCAAAAAGAGCATTGGAGGGGAAGGTCTAACACAAAAAAATATAACAAGCAACACTTTAAGTAAAGAAATTTAAGCTAAAATGTTAATTTTATTCATGACTGAATATTATTTGTCTTTAGCTTTCATGATACCCAATTATAATGTGCAATTTTCCACTTATTTACATTACACACTTCATGGTAATGATTTTTAATTTGATTTTTATTATATATGAAACAACTTTTGTTACATCTATTCAAAAAAAAGACACCATTATTCAGTGAATAGATTCAAAGTAATGAGACTGTTATTTACTATTATAAAGTTGTGAATTCAATGTAACAAAGTCATTAATGAATCAAAAATCACTCTTGGTTTCACACTGAAACTGATTTTTTGCTCATTTGTTTTTTGTTTTTTTGTTCTTTTTTATACTTAACATAGTTACAATATTGAAGCTTTAGCCAAACATGTTTTGTAAAATTTTGACATGTGAGAATAAGAACCCTCACCATTTATGGTAAAATCTTTCCAAATCTGACTAAGCTTGTTCTTTGTTATTGAATGAATCTTCAGGATTGACAGAAAAGTTTGCTTTTAAAGAACTGAAAACTTCTTCTATTTGGTTTAATATTGAACTGTAAGATGGCAAAAATCAGGCAGGTAGCCCTCTTACTTAAATTGCACTTAGCACAATTCTTGAATAGTGGAATTTCACATTGTCTATTATCATTTTCTTGTTACCTTCAGGTTTGGGAAAAAGTCTCTTGACAATAAATGATGCAATAAAGTGGCATTATATGCACCAACAATAATTTGATGAACTGTGATTCCTCTTGAGAAAATGGCACAGAAAATGATACAATTTCATCCTCTATTGGATGGGATGATTTTCTATGCTTTGCAATTGGTCAATGCATATCCATAGTGGCAGTTCATGTGTAGATCAAACTGTTGTCATTGACAAAAACAAAGCTGGTCAAAATTGCATTCATAATGGATAACACATATTCTCTTCTTGCATGAAGAGAAGAATCAGTTTTTTCCTTCTGTAAGTCGGAGCTCTTTCTTTCGAAATTCAGTAATGATAATAGCTTGAGACTTTTAGTTGTCTAACTCGGATTCCTTGAACTTTTGAATAATTTCTTTTTCAGTCAAACTAGGATCAGAATTCAACATGTTTTTCATTAATTCTTTGACCTTATGACCCCCTTTCTCCATTACTTATAGACCTTTTCTTATTTTCAACAAAATTATCTACATATATCTGACCTAGTTCGGTGAGATTTTTTTAATGGCAGTAGTGTCGTTTGAAAAATTAATTATCTCAGAAATTACCTTAGATTTCTTTATTTTTTTTCTCCCCTGTTCAATCAACCTCGTTACTGTAGATCAATTTTCTTTCATAGTATTTATCTTGTTCTTTCATATACTTTTGACTAATCGGTAAGCAGTAGGGTGATGAATTGCAAAAGCAATGGATAATTTTATAGTTTCATTATTTTACATATTCATCTTTATAGTAGCGAATAACAGTCTCTTTTTATTTTGGATAATGTTGTATTCCTAATTTCTTAATAACTAATATTAACAGCCAAATTATAAACTCATCAACTATTTTATGGTTTGTATTATTGTTTTTAAATCATGCTATTTTACAGTCCAATAAGAAAAAGTTAAAGAACTGAACTTTGTTTTACTTTCCCTGTTTTTATTCTGTAACAATTCCATTGCATGTGAATTTGCTGGGATCTTCCTTTCTATTCCTTGTCTACATTTTTTCTTCTCCTTTAATAGGCACCACCACGACTCCGGCCTTTTGATCCTGAAGAATTCTTAAAAACAGTTGAGCATTCTGGTCCACAACTCACTTCTGGAATAAAGGGAGACTGGGAGGGGTTGTACAAGTAAGTTTCTGTTGCAAAAGCCTCATTTTTCACTGTTACTTTTCATACAATATTGTTGAATACTGGAATTTATGTACAAAGGTGACCTTGAACAATGAAATTAAAATACTTTATATAGTCCCGAGTATCAGCTAAGATGGTTTAGAAGAGAAAAAAGCCCAAACAACTTGCCTGCTGGAATCTAATAATTTTTCTCAGGTAGCAACAAATATTGTGAATTTATTGAGTATAAAATTTAAATACAGTTTCTTATGACTGGAAGAAACAAATTAACAGCCTGGATAATTTGCAACTGTGTTAGCTATTCAATACAAATTCATTGAATAAAATATTTTTAGGAGGCCTATGATTGGGCATGGTGAAGTAATGGATAGCAGCTTGGATTGAGGAATCTGAGAGCCAAGTTCGAATTCCAATTGAATCCATTACATTCACTTACATGCTAATACATTTGGGAAAGGTATGAATCCTCTTCTTCTCCCCCCAGCTATGGGTAAATAGCAGGACAGTCCGGGTTCTATAGCCTTGGATGGCAACTGGTCTACCACAGAAAGAAATGGCAACCTTCTGTAGGAAAAAATCTGCCTCATCAGTCATGTAATGAAAGATACATGATCGCCTAAGCAGTGTATCACACATGGCACATAACTGACCGACTGAATGATTGGGCTGGTGTGGTATAACTTATCTTTGGAGAAAATTAAATTGGCAGGCTGAGTTCAAATTCAAGCTGAGAATATTGTCTAGTTTGCACTGATGCCTTTGAAAGAAGCATAAATTCATCTTCCAACTTACCCCTATCTATTGCCTTGCTTAGGGTGAAACAAACAAAAAACATTACTGTTCAAAACTAAAACAATATTCCATTTAAATAGTTTGGGACATAATCAGTCCTGGTTGCCAGCTCTCACTATAGCTGTTCTTCAGTTCAAAAAGAAATCATGTTTGGCATATAATAAGGAACAATTGAACTTTGAAATCTAATTAATAATAAGGTAGGTTAGACTCTCTAGCCTTGGTTGGCAATCAGTCTAGGAGAACAACTTTGAATTCAATACTGGGTAAGGCACCTGGAAACTATTCCACTACCTCTCAAATATAATCATGACAATTCAGATATTAATGAAAAGGGGGCTGAGCTGAGATAAGCTATGACAGTTCTGAAGAGACATGGCATTTAACACACACACATACACAATGAATTATTTGTTACTCTCAGACTACAGCTCATTAATAATCATGATCTAAAGATTTATATTGAGAGCCCTTAGAAAGGTGAGGGGTCTAGACCTCTTGGAGTCTGATTTTTTTTTTTCCTCACTTTTCGCACTATTTCATATTAGGCTGGTTCTGTTCAGCCCCATATTTTTATATCGATGAAACTTGAAAAATAAATGAATAAAAATAAACAAATAATACCAAGGAAACCAGAATTTCATCATCTCTAAAATTCAATATTTATTTAGAATCTCTAGGCTATAAAGTCATATTTTGACCAACCAATCTGAAACTGTCCCAATCAAGAAACAAACACCACAGTCTAGCAAGTGAGTCATAAACAAGAGCTGTTCCCAACCAGGATATCAGGTCATTAATTATGAGCCAATGGGAAGTGAAGTGACACTTTCAAAGTAGATCACTTGTATATATAACAAGATAGCAAATCAACTTAAATCAGAATAGATAAATTAATTTTATCTATTCTCCAATGCTGTGGTCATCATTATATATCCAGAGCTGAAATATGATACATGAGCAAACCACACAATCTTGCATAGACATGTTCAGTACCTACCTCCTATCACAGTCCTGCGTTGACAATAAAACATACATATTTTCTTCACCCACATTTTTAAGCAGATGGCTATGCATGTTTTAGTTGTCACTCCTGTTTTTTTATTTTCTTAAACCATGAAATTAATAACAACCAGTCTTGGTCTAGAAGTCCTACTAAAAAAAACCATTGTACCTCGCAACAAGACACACTCCTCCCTGGTCTTTTGAACAGGAGTAAAGATTTATCCCTTATTTCTTGTTTAGGATTGGGCTTCTGGTTCCTTCTAAAGTCTGCTTCAGCTCTATACCCCTAACATCTATGCCTGAACTCTGAAATATTATTTGCTAATTAATTTTTTTTTTTGTCTCCTCCACCAATAGGAATAGATATGTTCATCTATCATCCAGCTTCACATTCCTCTCCAGTTTTTCAAACAGAAGTAGAGGTTTATCCTTAGTTTCCTGTTCTAGATTGGGTTTTCAGTTCCTTCTAAAGTCTACTTCAAGTCTATACACCTAACAGTTGTCCTTTCTTATGCTAATACAACTCCACAGGTAACCCTCTACCTTGAGTTGCTCTTTGGCCTTGTAATGGGTAAATATTTGTATAAAAACATCTATATTCCCCTTTTTCCATCAGGGAAACCACTCCTATAGCTGACACATGAGTTTCTTTATCTTGAAAGTTTTTCATGGTCCAATTGATAATGGCACTCTTTGGCTATGGAAGTAGTTTCCTTGATAGAAAAAGTGAATATAGGTCCAATACCTGCTGAAAGGCATGTTGTTGTTGTTTTGTTTTTTTGGGGTTTTTTTTTTTTGTTTTTTTGTTTTGTTTTTCAAACTTTTATAAGTAGATCTTGATCTACGCCAGTTGATGTTAATTTCACAGTTTAAGAAAATAACAAAAACAAGGATGTCAACATAAACATGTGTACCAACTAAAAATAACGCTTCTTGTAATAAGAAATAGAGGCCAAGATAATTCTTCTTGTGTCACACTGACTTCTGTTATTGTAATATTTATATTTATTATATGCATCAAATTACACAGCACTTATTTTGATTAGCCACAATACTTTGAATGATTACTTCAATATGTATATAAATACAAAAAGTCTTAGCTGACAATAATATAAATGACAGATGGCTATAAAAAGGCACTGCTAATTTGTTTAAATAATGCACTGATTGTTATTTATGTCATATGTTAATAACTGTAAGTAAAATGATGCACTAAAATAAGTAACCAAATAGTCATTTTAAGTTCTTTGAATATTGGTGCCTTTATTATATTTTTCACTTTTTTTAGTTCAATTTTAGGTTTTGTAAAAATGTAACTTTCACTTCTTCATTGCTATCTTAGTTCTAGATCAGCAGTCAGCAATCTGTGGCATGCCAAGCATTTTCCAATAGCACACAGCCGCAAATGACATCACAAAGTCTGAACCAATAACTACTACAATGCAAAGAAGATATTTAGCTGTTTCAATTTTAATATATACTAAAGTATATATACTATATATTACAGGTATATTGACCTTGTATAAAAATACATATGTTGTTGGCACGCGGAAGGATTTTAGAATCCTAAGTCGGCACATAGTTAGCAAAAGGTTGCTGACCTCTGTTCTTAATAATATAGAAAATTTTATTTTGTTGTAATAAAAGAAAAAAAAAAACTTCATCTTGGAAGTTTGTTAATCTTAAAATCAGACTTAGTTTTTGTAAGATCAATTTTATTATGATCACCCATTGATAGTATATTTTACTTACTTGTAAAATCCATACTGGTTACAGGGTCATCAATAACTGTTTTCTTTTCATCATATGAAGCCAATTGGATATCAAAGTTAAAAATAATGAATTTTATATTGATAAAGGTACAGATCAATAATAAACTATATTGATTGGAAATTAGTCATCTCTTAATTATAATGATATGATTTGTTTAATATAAAAATCTTTATTAATGTTGTTTTATTATTAATGGTCTATTTTTTCATTAAAGACGCTTTTTTCCGTCTCCCAATTTTGTGGGGTGGTACCGACACCGAGAACATGAAGTAAACCAAAAACTCCAAGTTTTACATATGGAGGCCTTAAGTAATGTGGTATGTCTTACAAACTATCTTACTGCTTTTAATCACTGCCTTACTCTGTTAGAGAAAAAGTTAATTTATTTTTGTATATTTATTGTATTTAATAAAATATATTTACACAGCAATAATTCATTCAACTGATAATGTCTGTTTGTTTAATTTTTTTTTTTTTATTGTATTTTCTAATTTTTGAATAAATTATTTAACTTCCAAATCAAAATCGTGGATAAACTGTCCAAAATTCATGTTCAGTTTTTAAGTACTTCTGCGAATCTCAGTCATTATCAAGAACTTGGTGTTGTCAGTGTGGCAGACAAGATTTTGTTAGCTACATCCTGACATTTGCTTTTTTTGACATTGGCTTTTGAACACTATATATGCATATTGTATAAGTTACATCATTTAAAAACACCAGAAAAGAATATATGAAATTTTATATACAAGATCTGTCTGAAAAGTAACGTGACATCTGTTCTTTGATGAGTGAGTTCTTGATACAAGGACAGATGATCAATCAGCAAGTCTACAAAGAGATCCTGAAGCTTTTGCTTTGCTCAGTGCGGAAGAAGAGACAAGATTTGTAGCAGGAGAAATTGGGGATGATTCACCATGACAATGTACGTGCTTACAACGCTCTGAGCATCCAGCAGTTTCTGACCAAGAATATTGTTGTACTGGAACAAACTCCCTATTCACCTGATCTTGCTCCATGTAACTTTTTTCTTTTCCCCAAGTTCAAGGGGCTCATCAAGGGACCCCATTTTGAAGATGTAATAGGGCTGTAATGATGGAGCAGGGGGTCATCCAAGAAGAATCCTTCCAGCAGTGCATAGAAGCATGGAACATAAGTGCATAAGACTCAGAAGGAGTTACTTTGAAGGGGAAACCATATAGTTTGTTGTTTAGAATTGAAATAAATTGTGATATCAGTCTCATTACTTTTCAGACAGACCCTGCATACTATTTTATATGCACATTAAATGTTTTGTATATATTTACATTTGGAAAAATATAAAAAATTAAACAGACAGACCTTATTTAGTATACTCTTGAAAATAAGTGAATTTATATTTTTAGCTGTTTTTACTTAAATTTAAAATGATTCTATAATTTTTTTCCTCATTTCTTTCTAATTTACCTCAGAGTTTTTATATATGTTATTGACAGAACATATTTTTAAATTTGACATAATGTCATCCGACAATCAATTGTTGATATTGATTTCTCTAACTTATTAAAAGGATGAGTTTTATGTTGTCATGTAGCATAACAATTTGTAATGTTAATATTATTATGTTTTGGATGTTAAAACCTGAAATGTACATTCAAAGAGATGGATAAAAAAAAAAAAACAATTTAAATTTATGAAGTGAAGTGTTGTAATGGAATGTCCCACACTCCCTATCGCATATGTGGACTGACTATATCAGTAACTATATATAGTGAGCACAGGATATACCTGGGGAATTGCTTTGGAGATTCATCTACAGCTGTGCTGGTCAAACTCACTGCCCGAAGGCAGAGAGGAACCCAGATGAGGCTATGCCAAAGGGCAGTCTTGTCTGGGGTGGTAGACAGCTACTTGACTCCATGTATATGGGGTCTATGGGGAACTTTTGCCTGGGCCTACGGGCTCAGTTTTGACCACACATTAAAAACGGCCTTGTGCCACATCTGCCACGCAGGGAGGTAAGGTAAATATCCTTGCTTCTGGAATTACTAGCCAGTCTTTGAGTGGTGTATTCTCTTCTTTCATCTATGTGCATGTTGCTGTTCCTTCAATAGAGTATCACCTTTTTCTGTTTGTAACCTCTTTAAGGATACAACACTAAGCAATAATGTATACAATGAATGTTGTATTAACAATAATAAATGTATTAATATTAATTAATATATACACTAGATTAATAAGTAGGTCAGGGTTTCGTCTATGTACCTATTAAGTAAATATTAGTGAAACAAGTATTTATAACTTGCTTCTCTTAATGTTATCTTTCTGACAAACCAGGTAAATAGTTTTTTAAGATCAATATACAACCTTCAGATTAGTCATAAAATATCCATAGATTCAAACATTTTTCTATCTTTAAGCTAATACAAAGTGTATGAAGCAACTCCAGAACTTTATAAATTCCATGTCTCTTGCTTTGAAAGATTTGATGTGTATCCAATTATTTACAACCCAATTATTTAATCAGTCTTTAATGTTAAATGATAAGCATTATACAAATTCATTGAAACTCAACTAATTTTTGTCAAGCTTTATTTTATATGCATGTTTATATAAAGTAATAATCTTTGCATATAATCTTTTACAATTCAGATTTAAAATATCTCAGGTTGAAGTAAAAGAAACCAACTTTGCTTAATGGAATTGTTTTTTTAATCTATTTTCAAAGCTGTTGAGCTAGCTCAGACATTAATGAGTCTATCACACCAACCATCATGGTCTTGCATCAAAGTTGGGAGATCATTGGGGTGGCATTCTGTATCATAACATAGTTGGTCAATATAGGTGGTTGCCGGGTGACCAACTTGTCTTGTGCCGTGGCTAGGTGTCCAGAACAGTAGATCACTTGCAAGTTCTTATTTTTCTTGCCAACAGTGTTTTGCAAAGTGCATTCTGCATTTGTGTAAGATTGTAGAATTATCAGAAATGGTTCCATAGAGCTGTGATTTAGTTGGATGTTGTCACCAAGAGATGTTAAGTATAGCTCTCAGCATCTGTATGTAGATTCCATCAATCTTAACTCTAGGGTTGTAGTTAAATGTCCAAGCAGTGGCACCATACATTAAAACTGCCTCTACAGTGGCACAAAAGAATCTTTGAGATTGTCTGGTAGATCAGATTTCCATATTATGTCCATTTTATTCAAGGCAGCCCAAACTTTAGCTATGAGAATTTTCAAATCCTTTTCAGTAGAATTTATTTTGCTTAAGAATCAATAAAATCTGTTGAATATTTTATATACCTTTTTACAAATATCAAATGTGGCATATGTTCTTTACCTGAGATTTATAGTCAATGAATTGCATCAATAGGCTTTTCTTTCTTTTTTTATTCCAATCAAGTTTTTAAGAGATAACAGTAACTAACATTGTTAATGATAATAAATGTGACACAAATCAGTGTATTTTAAGAGTGTAAAATCTACCTAAAGAAACAATGAAACCTCTTCAGTGACTCAAAAGAATCTCCATTTGAGGTTGTCTAAGAGATCAGATTTCCTTATTACATCCATTAATATCCTATCAAAACTGTAGTTATTTCTAATTAACAATAATAATCAGAAAATTAATCTTACCTTACTGAGAATGACTATATGATTTTGGAGATTATCCAGATGCCATACTTGTGAGCAGGAATATTATTTGCCTTACCACTAAACAATGATCTTCATAGTATGACATTCAATGGGATTCTTTTTTAAATTAGTATTTACTAGAAGAAAATGTACATTATGTAGAGAAAAATGCAGTAACTTGATTTTAACATTTTTCAAATACCTTAAAAAAGAAAGCAAATTGTTTATCAACCTTTTAGGATGTCCAAGACTGGATTCGTGATAAAGAGGAAGTTGAGATTGTAGACCTCATTTTGAGATTAAGAGAAAAGCTGGTAAGTTTTGTTTTTCTTACTCCATCTTAAATTGCAACAAATTTTACTCATTTATTTATTTATTGAATATAAGTAAACATATTTTTTTACAAAGTTTGGTGTCTGAAAAGTTATTTATTGACATTTGAATATTTTGCTTTTATTTGTAATTAACAGCAAAGTTCAGAAATTATCATTTTGTGTTTAGTAGTAGTAAAGTATTTAAAAAAAAAAAAAATGTCATAAAAGACTTTCCATAAATAGTACTGTTTTATTTGTAATGCATATAACTGTTAGTCATTCATACATATATATATATATATATATATATATATATATATATATATATATATATAATATTTATATAGACACAAATATTTAAGTAAATGCTCTGTTTGTAATAAACAGTATTAACAACATATAAAATATATTAAAATAATTGTCGGACTTAGTCTATTACATTATATATATATATATATATATATATATATATATATAATCTGTTATACCATACTGAAGCATAAGCTGATTCTATCTGACCTATATGAGCTACCAAAATAAAACACTATATATATGATTTTATTTTTGCTTTTTAACTGGATGTACGGGTTGTGTGTATGCATCTAGTTTTATTTTCCGAACACAGCATATTGTGGCCGTGTTCTTAGTTAATATTATTGAGTGTTGGCTTTTTCTTTTTTATTATTAAGGCTTCCATTATTTTTTTATCTTTTTTTTTTACATGTGGTTGAGGTTATTATGTTTGTATTTTCTACTAGTATGCTTCGGATGGAGTCTGGTAAATTTGCGAGTGTATGTTTAAATGTGTTCAGATGGAGCTGTGGTCAAATAGGTGTAACGTAAATAAGTCGTCTAGATAGTAGTGCGACCAACGTAATTATTTATGAGTTTGGCTTGATCAGAAATGCAGTTCCTTATGGGGCATTTGGACTTGTAAATAATGTTCATTATTTGTAGTATTGATTTTGCAAATGTGTTGTTTTAAATTTTTGTGGTAGATAATTTAATTATTTTTTTTTTGTCCAGGTCAACAGGGGTAGTGTATTTCTTTATGATATCTTTAAGTGAAGATTCATCTTGTTTATAGTTGACATACATTTGGCTTTTTTAGAAAGTATTTATGTTTGTGTGTTCATTATTATTTACTTTGGAAAGTAATAGTCTAATCTGCTGGTCGATGACATAGTTTGGAAAAACCATTGTTAACTAGTGTCTGTTTTGCATTGTTGAGTTCTTTAAGGAAAAGTGGATGAGAGGATGAATTCTCATGTGCTCTCTTTAGGAAGATTCTTATCACTGCTATTTTATATCTGAGTGGGCATTCACTTTTAAAATCAAGGTGGCAGGAGTTTCTACTAGTGTGTTTTTTTTTTATACAATGAGGTGGTAAAAGTGTTATTATTGTGTTCTATGAGAATGTCTAAGGATGGGAGTTTATTTTTTTTTCTAAGTTCATAGGTAAAGTTAAAGACTTTTTTTTTTTTTTTTTTTTTGCAAATGTAATTTTGAGAGTATCTTTCATTTGTGTTTTTTGCTAAAATAAAAATATCTATGTAGCAGACATATTTTAGGTTTAAAGACCTGTTTAAATATCATATTTTCTACATGAGACATGTATTAATTGGAGAAGTACGGGCCAAGCGGGTTTCCCATACTAACACCATTAGTTTGGTTGTAGATGTTGCCATTATCGTCATAGAAGGGGACTTTGGTTATGCATCATGTAATACATCCAGTTAAAAAGTAAAAATAAAATCATCCTTGATAATGACTAAAAGTATAGCCAAAGTACTCAGAATTACAGAACATTTGGACAGTTTCTACACACGCTGTGCCCAGAAAAGAAAAAGATTTGTTGGACTACAAGAAAAATTAAATAAAAAGCTTTATCACAGTACCTAGTCTGTCATCTTTAATGAAACACACACATATATATATATATATATATATATATATATATATATATATATATATATATATATCCCAAGGTAAAATGAAAATAATTGGAATATAATTCCCCTGTACATAACATTTAATTTTAAAGAGGGCTCAGTACAGAATAGACCTAAATATTATTTATTTATTATTAAAATAAAAACATGTTGAAAATCGCTACACAATTACAATTTCAACACTACAAATGTGACTCCTCGAGTGATGTTAAACTACTAGTGAGTAACTTCACCTAAGGAGACACACTTAGTGTCAAAATGTAATTGTAGTTGTGTAGCGATTTTTTAATTTTTTTATTATCCTAAATAAATATATATATATATATATATATATATATATATATATATATATATATATATATGTGTGTGTGCAAATATAGAATAATAGGAAAGAACCATTAGGTTAATAATCCAAAGTTCTTTAGTATTTTTGTTTTTATTTTTAAAAAAACAATGCTCAATGCATGAGTAGAACCTAAATTATAATTATTTTTTTTGTGATGGAATCATATTTTTTTTTAATAATTATAATATATATTATAAATTAACTGATTTAAGATATGGTTTCTTTGCCACACAGGAATTACAAAGTTTCAAAAACTTCAAATTATGTAATTAAATTAAAAGCATTAGTTCTTTCATCTTCAAGCAAATTTTGGAACTCAATAAGAACACTGGATTATATATCTTACTGTTCTTTCTTTTTATTATAATATTAGACAGCAACCTTTCTTTTAAACATGTTTTATTAAATACAAGAGTCAAAGGAGATTTAATTAATTTTTTTTATTTATTTAGTTTTTCCAGCATCCTTACGTTTTTCCATTTTTTTCAATTTTCATTGTTCCAAGTGCTTTCAGCCACTTCCTTTTATTTATATATATATATATATATATATATAGATATAATTATTTTTATAAAAAAATTATAACATAAGTATGTTATAAAATCACTACAAAAATAGCCATTTTGTTTCAACACACTCTGTGTCTTATCAAGTGATGCACTTGATAAGACACAGTGTGAGTATTTTTTTGTAGTGATTTATAACATAATATGTTAAATTTTTTTATAAAAAAATAATTATATCTGCTCTACTTTGTATTGAGCACTCTTTTAAGAATAGTAATTGTTGGTTATTGGAATTCATTCCGTGTATACCAATTATATACTTTGATATATATATATATATATATATATATATATATATATATATATATATATATATATATATATATCTCAGTTTCAAACTATTTATTTCTATATGATATGCTGAAATGATATAAAATGAAAAATATGCATTTAATTGTATTAAAAAGCAATTTTATTGCAAATATAATTGCATTTCATATATATTAACTTTTGCAGTTACATTGTTAATCTTCATGTTTGTATGAACCCTTTGCAAAGCTTGTTTGAAATTAAATGTCCAATTTAATTTAAATCTCAAATCTTGACAGAGTTGTCTCCCTTAAATATTCCCTAGTTCAGTCGTACAAATCAACCCAATCTATATCATGTTAGTGTGTATATGAATTGTCAGTTGTAACGGGAAAAATTCTAGATGTAATTATAGCTACCCTTGTTTTTATGCATTCCAGAATTAGTTTATTTTTAATAACTTTCTTATAAGTCAAAATTTACTTACACCATAGCTAATGCAAATAGAATTAGCCTACAAAACAAAGCCACTATGGAATGGACAGTAACATTCTTGGTACAATCTCATTTCTAAAAAAAAAAAAAAAAAATTCATGCTGAAGGCATAAATTAATTTATCTGATTCTGCCTGATATTTTGAGATGAGTCATGCATATTTGATGTTTTACATCTCTCTTGATGACGACGACGATGATAACAGTAGTAGTAATAATATGAATAAATGAGTTAAGAAATAAATTGATATAAATATGGGAATAGAAAAAATATGTATATAAACAGAGAAAAAAATGTTTGTATATATGTGATTAGAAAATATATATATATATATATAATATACACACATTTTCTAATATATATATATATATATATATATATATATATATATATTTATATATTTATACATATGATTAGGAAAAAGAAATCTATATAAATAAAATTAATAAACAATAAAATCCAAAATCATGTTGTATCAAGAATAGCCTATTTCAGCAGATGAAGATATTGGTCGTCTGTCTTATCAACCCTGATATGGACTGAATTCATGTCAGAAATAGAAATTTAACTGTGAAAGCTATGAAAAAAAAAAACAAGAAAACAACTTTTTGAAAGACTAATACAGAATTTATCCATTTCAATGTTTCAGTCAGGCAAAAGGCACAAGACAGGGGTCAGAGGAGGGTGGAAGATATTTGTCTTAAAGGGAGAAAGTTTTATAAAATTAAACCCAAATATATTAGACTTATGATATTAATTTGGGTTTTTCCACTGATATGAAGTAGAAAAATTATATTGAATCAATTGCTAGGTCTGCTGACACAAAAGTTGATTCACTGTGTTGTGATAGACAATATTTTGCCAGAATCTACCACACATATAAATCTACTCTTGATCCATGCATTGAATATCGCTGCCACATCTTGTCTGATGCTTCTGTTATAGATTCTTGATAAAATCCAAAGACAAATCTACAATGTTATCTGTCCTCACCTGGCATCTTGACTTTCCCATTGCCATAATGTATATTCCCTGTGTCTTTTCTATAAATATTTTCATGGTAAATGTTCTGATAAGCTTTTCTCTTTGATAGACTTTATGAATTTAAGTGCATTACTAGATTAGTGGCAAGATCTCCTCATTTTACAGTTGAAATGGCTAGATGTAACTAAGTTCTATGCTAACAGTTTCTTCTCTCACACTTGTCACTTGTAGAGCTCCCTTCCAGCTTCTTGCTTTCCAGTCAACTTTCAACTTGAAAAATTTTAATGCAATATCAATCATTATCTTCAATCTTAATTCCTGATTTTTTATTGTTCTCTCTCCTTAATATTTTCTCATTCTCGGTAACCCCTTGATCTTAGTGGCTTTATTGCCTTGCTTAAGGGGAAATTTCTTTTTAAAAATAAAAGAAAATAACCATTGCATTTGTAAAATTAAATACTATTTTTTACAGTATAGTTCATATGAGAATTTTTGTGTGATCATTTCACCTTACAAAAAATAATCTTGTAAGGATTTTCAAACTGATCAAGGCAAAAAGATAAAATAATTAAATAGAATTTAAAAAATAAAATAAATAAAAAGAAATTAATAAAATAATTTTTTTTATTTTATCCTTTTACCTTGATCGGTTTGAAAATCCTTACAAGATTATTTTTTTGTAAGATGAAATGATCATCACAATGGAGTAGTTTTAAATTCCCATGTATGTAATTTATATTTGCTCTATTTTAATAAAATACATCAAGCTCTCTTTGTGGATCAGTTTTAATATTTTATATTATTAGGATTCACTTGGATTATATACCTACAGATGTTTATCTATATATAATATATATATTTTATGGTTTTAAAAAATATTTTTCATGTATGGTAACAGGAATTCAGTGTAAAGATAAAAATCTTAGATTACTTATGCATAAAATATAACCAATTCATTTGTGAAATTAGTAAAAATATTTCCTTTTTGTTTGATTTTTGACACTATTGTAAACTAGTTTCAATAACTTCTTGTCATATAAAATTATTTGTGTGTATTAAATTATTTTCTGAAGTTACTGAAATTAAAGGACCTTCAGCACTAGTTTAACTGCAAAACTGATTAGCAATATATATATAAAATCATATTGTACCATAATTCCTTTGTTTATCTTTGCTTCAGACCTTTGCTGCAAATAACCAGTCTGCTGTAAATAAAGACTGTGTTGTGAAACTCCATCGACATGTGGACACCATCATTTGCTCACTGCCAGACGATCTGCAGGGTGTATTGAAGACATGACACTATTTCAGCTGTCTCTCTCTTCTTCCCACAATTCCAGAACTTTCCCTCAATTCTCCTTTTTTAACTTTGAGAGAGGCAGCAGAAGGCCCAGTGTCAACCATCACTAAGGTTGTTTAGTTGTGGCCTCAATTTACTCATCACTTTTCTCTCATGACAACTGCTGCTGCTGCTGCCACCACCATCATCACCTTTTCACCCTCAGACCTTTGTCATTTCCACTGAACCTTGACCTCCTATTGTCCCCCAGCCCCTCTCTCTCTCTCTCTCTCTGGAAGCAATTTTTCCCCTTATTGGCCATACTGTCATTTGGGATTAATGTACTTCATCTACTTTATCAGTATAAGAGAAACTAAAAAACGATACAGGTTCATGCAATTCTCGCTTTGCTCATTTGAGACAATTTCAAAAATAACCTGTCAGGGAAACTTGTTACATGGATTTGACATTTTCACCTTTTGTCTGTGAAAGATTTGAAATTTTTTTTTTTTTTTATGTCAAATAAATTACACTTGTTTGTGAAAAGACTTTTGAAAATTTACATTCTTTTGGCTTTAAAAACAAATTGACAATTCTCTCTCTCTCTCTCACACACACACACACTATTGTATCACATATACAATGATCTTAAAGTGTGAAGAAGAAAGAATAATGCTGGACTGGAGTTGAGATAATTATAGACTTTCCTATGAAAATAGACACTCTACCTCTTATTATTTGTGAAGACTTCTGACTTTCTTAATGCCTTCCTTTTAGGATTATTATTCTCCATTGTTTTTTTGTTACCTTTCCCACAATGTTTCAACTGGTCCATTCTCCAACACTTCTCAGATGTTTATTACATCATCAGTACAGAGTAGCATGCTTTCTTTTAGTGAAATCGGGGAGATCGTATACACTCTGTGTAAGAGGAGGACATTATTTTTTTTTTTCACTTATGCTATTTACATGCAGAATATTGTCCTCAATAATTTTCATGTTATAACAACAAAGATGAAGATAATAGTCCACATGTAAATAATGTAAATAATAACTCCTCATCCCAGAAATTCAGACAGAAATTTATTTTTTATTTACAATTAAAAACTGGTGTATAATATCATTTCATTAAAAAAAAAAAAACACTAAAGGAATAAAAATCAATGTTGAGAACGGTAATCCAAAAAGGGAAAAAAAAAAAATCATTGATTGACACCAATAATTCATATTGAAACTTCTGTGTTCCCTCAGAAATTCATTCGGTAATCATCTCTGAGAGAGAAAAAAAAATGACAATTTACTTTCTTTCTTTCTAACTGTTCAGAAAGATACCTACTTCCATTTTAAAAGACAAAACAAAACTGCAGACTGTTTTCTCTCTTACCTTCATACAGATCCCAAGATGAACAATCCTGTAGAGTAGCATCACTTGCCCATCAGTATGATGACTTTCTCAATAATTGCAATTCATGCCAAGATCCTTGTCTGAACCAGGATTTCATGGTACTTAAAGATGACCCCTCCCTCAGCCTTTTTTTTTTTTAAGTGGCCAAGGCAGATGTTTTAAGAATATTATAACTTCTGTGAATTGTGGAACCGACACACAGACTGTACTGCATGTTATCCCTTTCAGTAAAGAAATACAATGAAGGCCGAAAGGAAAAAAATATAAAAAAATAAAACACTTTCTGCTTATAAAGAATCACTTCATAAATGTTATTCACTTTTGTGAAGACCAAATTTTTAAAGGAATTTTGTTATGAGTTTCTTCATTGAAAGAAATTAAAACTGTTTTGTTTTTTTTATAGCAACAAATGCTCCATTGACTGTGAATTGAACAGAATAAGTATCTCTACTGTTGAGATTTTCAAATAGAAAGAAACTTATTTCAATATGTGATTTTTATTTATTTATTGGTGCATGTAATCAAATCATGCTGAACTCTGTTATTCCAACTCAATTTGGGCATCTTGAGGTGGTGTAATGGTTAGCAAGCTTGTCTTGCTAGAACAATTACGACTGAGTAGTGAGTTCACTGGATGCCCCCCTACTTTTGGCCTTGTGCCACATCTAAACTATGCTTGGAAAATCACTGTTCCAACTCAATTTTAAGATGCCACTTTTTTGTTTTTCTTAAAAAAAAAAAAAAAAAAATTTCACCAGTTGTGTATCAGACTATTTACTTTTCTCTAATAATAATTAATTCAAATTTTCTCAGTAAGGATTGAAAGGACTGTTCTATTAAATTTCGGGATTTGTCAACTGTTTGCCAGTTGGATGTGACAAAAACGGAAAGTAATAACAAACCTGTCTGAAGTACAGGTCCATGCAACACCAAATAGTCTACCAGTTGTAGACAAGTGATATGGATAAAAATGACTTTCAATGCAAAAATATGGATACGATGTTGGTTTGTATTTTTTTTTTGGCCAGGGGTGTCTCTTCTTCCTTGCCAACCCTACAAATTTCTAGGACACCAGAAATTGCTACATAAACAACTGCTTCATTTTGTGCATGAAAGCTCCAAATACATACGTCTATACAATATTCACTGGTAATATTTGAAAAATGCATAAAAAAAAAAAAGACAAAAAAAACTTCAAATTGATTATTACCTGTACCTTCTGCACTAATCAGATATGAACCAGTCTCACACTCACCACTTCATTTTTCAACAATTTACTTCTTTTTTTTTAAAAAAAAAATATATATATATATATCTTCATATAACACAGCCACTTGCCAGATATGGATTTTTTTTTTTCTTTCATTGCTGTTTGCCTGATGACAATTTTCTTTTCTCATGGGACATTTTTTCCGGCACCATTCACAACTTTCTGTAACTGACCGCAGTACCTGCTATTGCTGATTAACAGGGTCACTGATTGACCTGATACCTATGTAGGTAAACAATGGAGAGCAGCTACATTTAAGTGTTTTCTCAAACAGTTCAGACTAAAAATTACCATTTGCTTAGTCAAAAATATTGAATTCTACCAACTGCATTCAGATGCTAACATTTACAATCAGGAAACCTACCAATCAAAATTGAAGAATAGCAATTCTCAGAAACTGACAACTACTTAAATATTCCTGAATGATTCTTTCTGCTGTGGCCACCCCCCACCCAAAAAATAATGCCTCAATTTGTCAATCAGAGGAATATTACGGTCTCTTGCATCAATAAAGACTTGCCACATTTAATGATATCATTTTCCTTTTGAATATTCTTTGCATAAATACTTTCACTTCATGTGAGATTTTTAAGAATTTTACTGTCAACTCCACAAAAATCTCTTCAGCTTTTACGTGAGAGAATAAGAGAGAGCTTGAGACTAATACACAAACTGATGACTGATATCAATTTCATTTGTCCATAGTTCTTCTTGAAACTTGTAAGCATTTGGAAACGGGATCTGGAACAAATACAACCAAAATAAGAAAAATAAAAAAAAGCATTGCTGGCAATGTCAAAGTTTTTATTCTTTTTAATCATATCTACAAATGGTCATTGAGAGAGTGTGGGGGAAAAGAAAAAAAAAGCCATTAAAACTCTCTAAACTTTGATACAAGTTATGAATTTTACCAGCTAATACAAACTGTAAATTGAAAACAAAAATAAACTTAGAAATATCTTTTTTATTCTCTTCAAATGTTCTGCATATATTTTGAACAATAAATTGAAAGCAACCCTGTAATTTAATGCACCTTTCAATAAGGTTTCTCTTAAAATATTTGTCTTATTTCTGTTATTTGTTTGTTTGTTTTTTTTTTTGTTTTTTTTTTTTTTAAGCGTTTCACCCCAAGCAAGGCGAGAAGCCACTAGGACACAAGGGGTTACAGAAGATTTGGAGCAAGATCAGATAGGAGTGATAGAGGAAAGGATGAGGAGAAGGGTAGTGGATAGATCAAGGCAACTGGAGATGTCGATTGACATTACATTTGAATAGTTGGAGATTATAGCTCTCAGGGAAACAGTAATTGGGAAGGGTGTTCCACAGGCGAGAGGTGCCAGGTATGAAGCTATTGGAGTAGAAGAGACGGCTACATTTAGGAGTTTCGACAGTGAAAGGGTGAGAGCGGGATGCCAACCTTGTAGGGCGCTTGAATTCATGAAGTCTGGGAACCAGCGAATGCAGCTCCTCGGAGCAGTTACCATGAAAGTATTTGTAAAAAAGACAGAGGCGACGGCGCGTCTGTGAGAGAGTGACTGTAGACAAGATGCCAGAACAGGGCCAATTATATTGCATATCTACCTCTGGAGCCTATCAAGAACCCCAAGGCAAACAGAAGGGGCTCCAGACCATATATGGCAGCAATACTCCATGCAAGGGTGAATTGTTGATCGATTCTGGAGAGAAAAATTTCCTGCCGTTGCACAGGGAGCCAACTTTCCTTGTGGTGGACGAAGCATTTGACTCAATGTATTTGTTCCATCTCAGGTCAGCAGTCAACGTGAGACTGAGCAGCCGCAGAGAGGTGCTCTCGAGAAGTTGAGCGTCAGACATTCTCATGGAGGGCAGGGAAGGATTTCTATGGTGATTAATAGCGAGCAGTTTTGTTTTTGAGGCATTAAAGTTGACCAGCCAATTCCTGCCCCAGTTCACAACTGATTGGAGGTACTTTTCGAGACGCACGGCCAGGTTAGTTTTGTCAGTGACACTAGATTTGTTTTTGAGGCAGGAGTAAATTGTGGTGTCATCCACGTAGATACCAACTTGGGAATTTATGGCGTCAAGGTGGTCATTTATGTAGATAAGGAATAGAGTGGGGCCTAGGATGGAGCATTAAGGAACACCTGCATTCGTGGGATAGGAACTGGAGGAGAATCCATTGAGAACGACCTTCAATTCATGGTTTGACAGGAATGATTGTAATAGGTCAAACAATTGACCTGTAATGCCATAACCCTGGAGCTTGTGAAGAAGGCTGGCATGTCAAACCCTATCAAACGCTTTGGAGATGTCTAGGGCCACGGCATGAGCTTCCCCGTTATTTTGAAGAGCTTGGTAGACAGTTTC